ACCGAAATCCATCGGTTCTTCTGGCTTGCACTGGGCATCTGAGCCTTCCTCGGGCATCACCTCGAAATCCATCAATGGTGGCATCGTCTCGAAATCCATCAAAGACGGCATCGCCCCGAAATCTATCAGCGGTGGCAACGTCCCGAAATCCATCGGTGACAGCCATAGTTCCCCGTGTGATCATGCAATAAGCAACAAACGTTTCCGATTCTTATCTTGATTTCATTAGCCCATGCAACTAAGCACAAATACATTCGGTGCTCGTGAAGTTCATGCTCCCTAGGGAAAATCGTCTAACATGCGGGGTGCAGTGGAGGGCACGTGACTCGGTCCACCATACCGAGTGCCGGCTCGAAGCCGAACTTGGCCTGGTTCTACACGCCTCAATGTAAAACCCGCATCAAGCCAAACTCGTCCCAGAACACCACAACATGAGTACGAGACCATACAACACCCCGTTTCGTGCCTCGGTTGTGCCATAACTCACGGCCACAATGCAAAACAACAAGTCATGTGCGAGCTTCAAGCATCACAAACATGATTACTTCTCGAGCCCAAACGCGCAACACTATGCTCTAACCAAAATATATGGAATTCACTTACTACACGGGCAATTCTAAAGTGTTTCAGTGGTGGTGTGGCGAGTGAGAGGGCGTGGCCAAGAAAGTAGCCGAGAGAATTGCCGAGAAAAGGGAGAGAGACCGAGAAGAAGAGAGGCTGGCCGAAAGAGATAGAGGAGAGAGTGGGCTGGTCGGTTTGAGGAAAAAAATGAAATGAAGTGGAGGCCCTCCTATTTATAGACCAAACTCTCATGATGACCATGCCAAATGGTCCAATGGTATTTGTTCAAGTGGCACCTATTAATTAGAGGCAATCTTGGGAAATCTTATCCAAATCTTAGACTAAATTATTGGATGATTTAATTGACTACCAAGTGTCCCTTTTAGGGTCATTATGCCCTAACTTAGGGCACATGAGTCATCTTATGTATTAATGGCTATAGGGACACCTAAGCTTATGCATTAATTTCAAGGAGACACCTAAGCCTCTAGTATTGGTCTCTTCATTAATGGCTTTGTCTTGATCTTCATTATGGCTCTCTAAGTTGCTATGTATGAGGTATATCTAGGGCACTCAAGAAGATCTTCAATTAATGAAGATCTTATCTCATAAGATCCTTCTAATGATGACCTTCCAATTATTGATCAAATGTGGACTTGGTCAAATTTTTCTTCTTGTTTCCCCAAGGCTTGGCCGAAATTTGCTGATTCTTGCCCTTCTAAAATGCTTAATTATACACTAAAGACAATCGGTTTGTAATCCTCCAAAACCAACAAGTATACTTAGCAAAGTGCCGAAGTAAACGGGGAAATTACGAATTTAAATGATCGACCAACCTATCCGGATTGAGGTTCGGTGCAGGATTACTTCTAAATATGACCAAACATAACCAAGCCCAAGTCCAAGTCCAATGGTGCAAACTCGGGCCAGTCGGACTGATCAGGCTTGTTACCTATGCGGTCAGGCCAGACCGGGCGCAGGGCTTGGCACACTGCCGGGCCACACGGGCACACGGCCAGGCATATGGCCAGGCATGTGGCCGAGTGCATAGGCGCGGTACCGGGCTGCACGAGCACGATGCCGAGCTGCACGAGCAAGGGGCCGGTTCATGGACCAAACACATGCATTGGCTCGTGAATGGGCACAATGTACGGCTCATGGCCAAGTCTATTGGGCACGAAACTACGTCGGAGCCGGATCTGACGGGCACATTGCCTGGTACAAGGATCAGGCACAATGACTGGCACACGGCCGGGCTCGTAGCCAGTCCATGGCCTAGCTGACAGGCACAATGGCCGGTCATGGCCAAATACAAGCCCTAGCCGGCGCGGCTAGCACATAGCCTAGTCCGCGACCAAGCCACTAGGCTCATGACCTGGCACATGGCTTATCCATGGCCTACCCAACTTAACACAATGATCCATGGACGATTCGTGACTGGGCCACGTTCGAGTATCAACGACCCATGATCGACCTTCAATTGTCATGTAGCCTCGTGAAATCTAGTATCACGAGACTATTCCATGATCATCCGCGGCTGATGTATGGCCGTGCGAAATCATCCGTGACCATCACATGCCGACACGGCACTGGTCTATGGTCGTCCCGGACCTTCCCACTGACGGCCCTTATGGTCGAAAGGTCAATCTACAGTCATATTACCCTAATTGACTTGCGTGATCGGGGAGTCATTCCATTATTGGTCCCATGATCAATTCGTGGACAATCTTTCGATCAAACCATGACCAACCATTAGTACACTTGTTCTGACCATGTTATCCGTTCCATTACCAATCCTCGACTCGGATTGCTTGCCCATTCTATTACCATTTACCTTTGGTCATTTGGGTCCAAATTCGAAGATGTCACAATCGGTCTTAAAACAACTCTCTGTCGCTTACTAGCATTAGAAAGGCTAATGACTATGGCAATTTCCCATACCAATTAGACTGCTCCTGTTAGAATCTGTCTTTTGTCAGAACTGCTATAACTAGTCTAATATATCTCCAGTGCTTCTAATGCAAACTTCAAGCCTTTGTAATGGTTAGTCTCACCTCAATCAGCATTCCCATCAGCTAAGCATATGGTCAGCACCTCCTAGGACTCGATATCTGCGTTGTCCTGGAGTGCAAATTACCAATAAAATGTTGATGATATCCATTGACGAAACCGTTTGGAATGACTTCCGATCAATCATCTAATGATTCTCTTGGCTCCATCAGCTTCCAAAGACTTTCAAGGACATCGGCATCCCATTGATTCCTCATCTTCACTTATTAACCAAGTTAGCATCCAAAGACTTTCAAGGACATCAGCATCACCGCTCATTTCTCGTCTTCACTGAACTCACTAGATCATCAGCATTGTCATTGCCTTTCCACCTCATCTAAAGAGAACTACTCCAACCAACAATCTGCTATCCCAATGGCGATTCACCACTTCTATCTTCCGGTCCTTCCAAGCATATTGGCGATTAGGATTTTACTAAGCTGCTCGACTTCACAAGCATAGTCCTTTCAAGCCTCAACAAACATTACTATTCTCAGCTTGTTTACCATCACCAAGATCCTTCAACTGTTCACCTTATCTTGGTCCTTCCAATCCATTACAAACATCTCCGATCTTCTCGGCTTGTTCTCATTTGATCAAGGTCCTTCCAGTTTGTTCACTTTTGTAGAGATCCTTCCACCTTGTAGATATATCCACGCCCAATAACATCTTTACCTCAGATATCAGTGGTGATCCTTCCATATTGGTAGAGCATTCCCGATTATGATAGAGCATATCAAGATCACACCTAATAGTCATTAAGACACTATATGCATTGCGGCTTGTGTATATATCACCTGGTATCAACTCAACCAATACACACATTAGTAGAATTTAATTGTCTTTGTTATCTTCAAAACATCATAAGAATATTCCCAATGGACATTATGCCAAAGAGTGTTGGTTGCCAAAGAGAGACAAATTCCATGATAGAAATGGAGATCGAAAGAAAGAAGAGAAACAGGTTACAGCGGCCGTTGAATCCGATGGTGATATTATGTTCATTTGTGACGATGCTTATGTGAATCTTACATGTCAAGACTCTAGCTGGTTTATTGATTCCACAACTTCATTTCATGTCACCTCACGGCGTGATTACTTTACATCCTACTGTAACAATGAATTTGGTTGTGTTAGGATGGAAAACAGTGGTATTTCCCAAGTTATCATCATGGGAGATATTTATTTGGAGACCGATGTTGGATGTAGTTTGCTTTTGAAAACTACGAGACATGTTCAGGACATCCGACTTCATTTGATCTCCACATAATCACAAAAAGCCTTTGTTTGAGGAGGTAAGAGAGTGGAGGAGAGAGAAAGGGTAGGGGAAAGGGGAGAAGATATACATTTTGGGTGTCGACGAGAGCAAGCAATTCTTTTTAGGTTTTAGGAGAATACAAATTGTAAATTTAAAAAATTTTGAAGAGTTTTTTTATATAAGGAGTAAATCATTTGCAATTATCCTTTTTCTAAAATGTATAATTTACATCTCCAGACAAACCCAAATTAAAGAGACTATTACCCTTAACCATACGAAAACCCTGCTCTACCTCTCTCTCACACACACACATTTGATTTTTCTCTCTAGCAACGTTGTCTTATTTCTCTCTTTTGTGTCTCCACAGTTCGAGCTCAAGAGCCTGCGCTTGAACCCTTGGTGAAGCTCGAGCTCGATGCTACGGCAGAGCTTGAGGCTATCGAGCTGGCCGAGATCTCCGAGTGACTAAGCCCAAAAGCAAACATAACCAGGTGGGAGGAGAGGTTCACTTTCTATCACTGAGTACAGACCCACACGTATGTGTGCTCATTGGACGCGGTCATCTGGACGCGGTCGGAGATGATGACACGCTACGATAGCGATGGCAGAGGATGAAAACACGCAAGGGGGGTCGCTGAGGATAGAGAGAGAATAAGAGATGCTGCGTTCTGAGTCCCGGATGGGTGGAGACAGTGATGGAGGCACATTTGGAAAAAAGAATGGCAATATGATAAATTTGGAGTGTAGCGTAGCGTCAAATCTCAAGATGGAAATTGCCTATTTCGAAAGTAGAAAATGCCTATTGATATAGATGCAAAAGTTGATGATGGTTTTTGAAACTTTTCCTTGTTTTTTGTTTTTTTGCATTCAGTGGAATAGTAGTGTGACGCATTTTCTCTCGAAGATTCAAGAGTTCTGAAGTGAACTATAGGTATGTACCTCTTGCTTGCTTCAGTAGAATCATTACGTCCAAGTAATTATGGCTGAAAGAGTCGTAGCCGCTAGCGTAAGGGCTTGCTGTTATCGAGTAAACAAGTAAATAAAGTAAATCTCTTAACCTTCTTAAATCCGATTCCTTCTGCTCTGTTTCCATTTCCCAACCATCATGGTTTTGCGACCCAGAAATGCATCGTACAACAAAGCCACTTTATCTCTATTAATCTGGAAACAAAGACGGATCAGAGAACTCTGCTGTACATTTTTCTCCATGTTGGTCCTCATTAGGTAAACATGCACCTAGGATTTCCGGAAAATAAAATGAAAGCCATTGGATTTTGATCCCCCTCTTGAGCCATGGGCACAGCTTAGCCTTAGATCCAACGATTTCACTGTGTTTGTTCAGAATAGCAACCGAGGTGATAAGCCCGAGAGAGATTGGTACTCTGGTCCTTCACTGAAGACACTAAAATGTCCATGTACGTACGATGAACAGGAGGTAACAACAAAGCCGATTGTCTATCCATGGACACCAAACGTCCGCACTTGCTGCGAGAGATAGAATGCTCATGTCAATCATTCGAAACGACATAAAAGAGTAATGTATGGAAAGAAGGAGAATTATGCACCTGCAAACTTTTGTGAATAAAGTTTGATAGCTGCAGATCCAATGCTACAACAACATGAAAGAAATCAAGAAAACAAAAACATTTTAGACGGAGACAAAGATTGTACAACAAATGATGAAAGACACGTAAGCCAAATAACTCTTACCAAAAGAGAAAATAGAGCAGTTTCTGCTTTGACTCCAACAAAATATTGTAGGGCCATGGCAGCATGATCCTGAAAAGAAACACTGCTAATAAACATTTGGAGAGACAGGTTCAAGCATCTAACAACAGGAAAATATTAAAATAAAAAACAGCAGCCCTTACCGTGATATGCCTAAAAACATGATGAACTGAATGACCTCGAGCATGAACATAGCTACCTCCCTGTTAGATATACGTGAGGAAATAACACAGTTATGGGTATTTATAGCCAATAGCCTCCAAAGAAACCAAAGTAACATCAGCTAAAAAGAAAGGCTAGATACAAAAGATCAAAATATTTCAGCTAGAAACTTGTCCTCCAGAGTGCAGTACATAAGCCATGCCCCTGTTTTGAGCCAAAACTTAAGCCTCAAGCCCTCAATGCACAATCAAACTCGTGTAAAAAGTTTATCACAGGCTAACCAATGAAATGGAAATCAACAATTTGTGTATTGCGTCATGACATCTTGAGCTACAAAAAACTTGGGTAACTTAGAATTGAAAATTGTGGACCATTCTAGAAAGGTAATATATAGTTTACACAGTATATGACAGGCTGCAAAATTAATGAGTTAATCAATCAAGTATCAGCTCGAATATCAACTGCAGCATACCCAAGAACTGAAATAACAAAATAATAAAATTTTGGAACCATCATACTAATGACGGATTGCTCCCTAAAGTATTTTGCAATTTTAGTTTCAACAAAATGAGGAAAAAAGAAGAGTATCAGGGGGATAATTAATTGTCTTTGCCATCTTTATCAGCCATGCAAGTTACTGTTTTTTTTTTAGTGGCAGAGAAGAAAAAACCACACTTTCTCATCTAGCGACTGGTTAATGACATTTACACCACCGAAAAGAACAAACGATGGCAAAGCTAAAAACTAAGAAGGCATCAATTATGATTACCCTAGTCTAGTCACTGAGAAGGCTCAGATATAAGGTGCAAGTGCTAGTTGAAGCAACTAAATCATTAAAATGTCAAGACATTATAGGAAGGAGATAGGTTTTCAATTCTTGTCTCATTCAAAAATGCTGGTTCTTGTTTCCACTCATAAGGCCTTCTCTTATCTTTTTGCAGTCTGCTAGAGTCCACTCCAGCCATCATTGATTCTCACTTTTATACAATTGCTACAAACTGAAAAAATTACTCTTTGATCATTGGGACACACAATTATTCCAATCTCACCCATTGATTCCATTCATACGGCTTCTCTTTTGTTGCCACAGGTTTCTCTAACCCAGTGCAGAAACCTGCATTTGTAAAGTTGCTGAAACTGGAACGACTCATTGATTCCATCATCCCGACATAAAAAATTTCCCAATGACCCTATTCTTGATGAAAAAATATTATTGTTTGGCAATTTCTGTTTGTAAAAACATGCAGACTTGGTTGTCAACACTATTCACAACAGGGTCGAACTAATTCTACGTTAATGCAACAGAAAGTAACAATTTCTTTCACAATAATGATATCAAGTTTGTCCACTTCAACTCTACTTCATAGCCTCAGCAAAGCATTATACAATTATTTTGCTATGTAAAACAAACTTCACCATCAAGACATGTCAGCATTTTTTGGGACATTTGTGTTGCTGTTTAAGTAAAACAGTTACTGTGCTAGACTACAAGCAAAAGTACACTTGTAGTGCTGTCACCAGCAAGTGTAAAGTCAAGCAGCGATTAGAAACCTGCTTAGTGAGTGTTCAATTAAACAAGGAAAAGCATGCAATACCACCCATCTTTCACAAATGCAACAAGGAAAAAAAAATAGACTAGCAGCTTACTGAAACTTATGCAATTTAAATGATGAAAACATCTCAAGAAGAATCTTAAGAGAAACAATAGAGGAAAAGCATGTCAGGGAAAACATATTACCTCGTCTGGAGAAAAGAAGGCCACTGCATCTGGGTCAACAGAACCAGCAGGATGCAATGATATTATAGCTCTGAAGACTGAAGTAACCAGCAACTCAATCACGGCAACTTTGTCAGTATTAACACTTACAGTTCCTACAGGAGACGGCCTTAGCCTATTTAAACTGTGAAAATTGTGTTCTTTCGATGCTTCTATAAGATTCTCATTTGCAGAAGATGGCAGGGAAGAAGCTCTTTTCAGCCAATCCAATCGACCATGTGTGAAAACTTTGACATTTGGCATCTCTTTCTCCATATAAATAAGAACATCAGATAGTGTCTTGTAATTATTAGGGTCGTCCTCCTGACTTGCTGTTGATACTCGAGAACCACAATGCCTTTTGGGTTCTGATTCGAGACTTTGGCTATCAAGACCATCGTCAAGATGAGGGAAAAATCGTCGCTTCTGATCAGTGAAAGCCTTGAGAGCTAACCTACAAAAATGTGGGAAGCATGGAATAGTTATGATATAGGATAATCAGTCATAAAATAATCAGTCCAACTGGAATTATAATTCCCAAATGAAATTGCTGTGTTGGATGACTTTCAAGGAGTGAGTTCCTTTAGGCATCACACCTCAAGTTCCTAAGCACCGGGGTTATAGTTTCTTAATCATAACATTGAAGAAGGGAATCACAACACACCATCAATACCATATAATTCTTAAACCCTCGTTCTCTGTTCTTGATAGGAAGATAATCATATTATGGATGCTACTAAATAAACTACTTCAAGAAGCTACGGTAAACCTTCCTTATTTCAATTCAAGGAATAGAAAAGTTATTTAATAGTGACAGATTATGGTCCTAATCAAAATCTCACTGGGAGAAGAATCCTAACTGGATCAGGAATGTTATTCCCCTCGATGGTTCTTCATTCAAAAAACTAGCCATCACATTAAAATTGCCACCAACAGCTTGTCTGATTAATGGCCTGCATCAGATTATTATCAAGGCAATGAAGAAAAGAAATATTGCATTACAGAATATTATGTCATCCATTACGTACACATAATAATAATGACAGTACATTCAAACTAGATTGTTGATGGAATAGAACACTCATAAAAAACCATATTGTCATTACTTGGCAAGTCTTACTAATGAGAAATGATAGTTTCCTTTTTATACTAGATCCTATTTGTTCCAACTCTGCAGTTTTTCAAAGAACTGTGGTTAATGTAATTATTATCATGCCACTCACTCACAGTTAGATTAATTGAGTTGCTATTGTCAAACGATACTGCAGAGCGTTGTTTCAATCTGCTGCAACTCCATTAGGGAGTTCTAGAAACATCCTTTTTCATTAAATCAACATTCTTTGGGCCATCATGGTTGACCCTTTTTCTGTATGAGCATTGACAATAGTAAACCATATAACAGTTCATTCGATTTCTACCTTACTTTATTTCCAGTTCTAGCATAAAGCTTGAAGAGAAGTTTCTACGTATTATACTGGTAATCCCATTTTTCAGTATTAAGTCCATGAAATGTTCACTTGTAAATGAATAATTTAAGAAATCTCTCCAAACTAATTAACAATCAAGGAGTGAAAGACTAGGGAGATGCAGCTTAGCATTGCAGTGAGTTTAACCAGACACTATAGCAAAAAACTAGGAAAAACTCAAGACAGCAATATAAGGAATCCTCATCAAGTTCCTAAAGAAAAAAAGAAAAGAAAAGGGTAAACAAGGATATTCTCTAGAAAACAAGAGAACAAAGAACAAGACCAGCATTTCTTTACAACTAAAACTGATGTCGTTATTGTTCTACAGAGGAAACAGAACTCTATCACACTAGAATCAGAACCTGTTGAGCTCCATATAGAACTCCAAAAGTTTCAACATATGTACAGACTTCAAGCTAACTTCTGAGAACTATATAATTCAAATTTGAGTGGAACGATCATACAACAAACTCAGAGCACCAGCAATTAAGCACGTTCAATCAAATGGAATTGGCCACATAGATCCTTCGATGTTAATTGTGCGCTACATAGTGCTAAATATAGGCAAAATCCCAAGAAGCAAGTTCGCTCTGTGAATTTCATAGCCTGCCACGCTGTCTTATCATAGTGAGCTTTTCAGTTCGACCAACAAGCTGTTGACAGACATTAGTCAATTGATGCTACTGGTGACTAAAAATTCTATAATCCTGTCCTATTATGAATACAAGGTATGCCTCGCTTCAGTCCAGCATGGGTTCTGTTAGTGCCTCGCACCTTAGTCACTTAGAGGGTTCGGCACCTTGGGAGCCATATAACACCACTTAATGATACAAGAAACCATGGAAGAGAATAAAATGTGGAATACCGAGATCACAACCTGGTCCTGTCAACAGCAGATGCACCAGCTTGTCCGGCTAACTGCCGCTTCCAAGCATACGCGACGACGGCACCGTCCGGGCAAACCAAGGGCATGTGCAGACCCCACGAATTACTCCTCGATCGAAGAGACTCGTTTAAAACCCCCGACTCTTCCAACAGCTTCCCTGAAAAAAATTGGGAAAGGCAAGGCGGAAAAACAGACTTGAGAAGCACGGCATACAAAATCTTTCGACACCACCCACGAGAATCTAAGTGAATTACAGATTCCACCAATCCACGCTATGCAGCACAGACGCCCATGTCAAACTGAAGAGCAGATGCAATACGTGAAGCAGAAACTAGGGACGAGGCTAAAAGCTAGAAACCCTAGTTCCAGGAAAGCGAGAGGCGAAGATTTAGGTACCGATGGCGCGAAGATCCTGGAGGTGCTGACGCATGGAAGCGTCCTCCTTGTTGAAGGACTGGAGAGGCTTGGTGCTCTGGTGCGGCTGCGCCGCCACGAAGAGCGCTTCCAGGATGCGGTCGGCGCCGAGCCTCACGTCGGCGATGAGGCGCGCCGCCTGCGACAGCCGATCCATCGCCAGGGCCACCTGCTTCGGCGGCGCCTCGGACCGGGATTCGCTCGCCGGCGGCGGGGCCGGGGCCGGGTTGGGCGGCGGCGACGCCACCTGAGCCGCCAGCTGCTGTTGCATTTTTGTTCCGCCGGGTGCACTGGTTTCCGCCGTTTCCGCCGGCGGGAGGAGTCTCTCTCCGTCGAATCTGAATTCGAACCGGCGGTTTCCGACGACTTCTCACGGACCTTTCCCGAGGCGATTTACGCATGCCCGAAGCTCGTGGGCGGTGGTCACAAGTAACCTTTGACCTTTCGATTTTAAGGATATCATGACGAGGTCCTCGGCCTAAAAAAAAAAACATTCAGGACGAAAAATTGTTAAGTTTTCATAACATAATTACTTTATTTTTTTGGGTCAGATATAACTAATTACTTAATGAGTGTTATTAGGATGCCCGTGAATAAAATTCTTTTAACATATATGTATCATGTATGGAATTCTCTCGTGCCCTTGTGAGCTAAGGAATAGAGCTTCGTGGCATCAAGTTGAAGAACGACTAACGTAGAAAGATGATATAACTTATTTGTGCGAGTAAAGTCGGGATGTTCATGTTGGGAGTCTTAAATGGAATAAATACCATTTTAAAGGATCTCTTTGAAGACGGAGTTGGCCTCTTGTGCATAAAATGCTCGGAAGCTGATGTCGCCCTCCTGGTGAGGTCCTGACAGGCTGAAATTAGTTGTTGTACCCAAGAGTTGTGTATATCTCGCTTGAGAGATTGAATACCTTAGCTAAAGCATGGTATGATTCGGTGTGAGAAGGCAATTCGCCTTTATTTTAGAATGAAGATTAGCCTGATGTTCTAGGCTCACTAAGTGTCCACAGGCTGTTTCGCGGCCAAAAAATGTCGGCCGGTGACATATGCCTCTCCAAAATGATTGCAATATTCATTTTAATATCGATGATTTCTTGGATTGTGATTTACCCATTCTCAAGTTTCGTGGTATATGGTCTTGCGATTAGTATTAGGTCTTCCCTTCAGAGTTACTCACGAAACAACTTTGATAACGAGGTATATTATCCTCAAAATTAACGGCACATCCCATCAATAAATAATCGGTATATGTTAACACTTTTTCGTTAAAAATTACGAAAAATATATAACCTAGTTTATTCCGACTATTATTTTTCCTAATTAAATTCCCATCATTTACAATTCTCTCTAAAGAAATCGATGTCACTCATTTCGAAAAAACAAAATTTCAGCGCGCGCATGTTCAGTTGGCGCCAGAACCATTTCGGAGCACAAGACCAAAACCTAGGCGCGCGAAGGGTCTTCTTGCATCGAAGGAGCTCCGCAGGATCAGAGCATATGCAACCGCGATGCAGCCCAAGATCAGTTCCTTCTTCCACGGCTCTTCACCTCCTCCGTCTTCGTCTTCGCTCCTCCTCCCGCCTGGCGGCGGCGGCGGCGGCGGCGGCGGCGGCGGCGGCGAGGGGGACGACGACCTGGCGCTTTGGGAGAGGACCCAACACGCGTTTCTCACGACGTACAAGCGGAGAGCTCCCAAGTCGCTCCAGTACGATTCCAGCTCCGCCTTTCCTTTCGCTCTTTGCTCCGGCTCTTCGTTCCGGACTTTGTGTATTAGGAACCGGCCTAATTCGTTTTGAGAAAAAGAAAATGTGGGGATTTCTTCGAATCGAAGTAGATTCTGTAATTCATTGTTGATCGATTCGGATACTTGTAATTGTGGGTTCAGCTGTGCAGGTCCCGAATAGCGTCGACCCGATTATAAGTACCCGTCGGGCTCAAGTTGTTGATTTTTTCTCGTCGGCATCTTATGTTCTTATCTCCGGTATAGGTCTGAAATTCTTGAGGAATCAAGCGGCGGGGAAGCGGCGAAACTTGATTCCGTGGAACCTTGCTTAAACCCGGAATTGGTGGTAACCGGTGGAACAAAAGTGGTCAACAGGAACAAGAAAAGGAGCTATGCTCAGGTTCATCTGGAGTTCGGGCAGTCTGATTTTCTTCTCCGGACATGCACCGAGTGCGGGATCAAGTATGCGCCCGGGGACGAAGGAGATGAGAAGGCTCACACAGCATTTCACAGGAATTATACTCAAGGACTACAGTTTAGGGTGAGTTGATTTGAACCTTGGCTTGTCCCTTTCGCTTCAACTGATGTGCACTTATTGGTCTTATTCTGTAATTTTAACAGGGTTGGCGCAGTGAAAGGGTCATAAGCACGCCTTCCATTGAACAAGGGCGTATCATTATGGTATTGGATAGTGACCCTCCTGCTCAAAGAAACAAGGTTTGTCTTTAAAATTCTCTTTTTGATATTTAGGAGCTATTGCCTATTTCTGACTAGATGTATGTGTGAGTCCTTTTGCGAAAAGGAAAGCCAGCCAAGCAATTGAGTTTTTCTTCATGACAAAAAAGGAGAATTAATAGTTAAAGCTGCTGCATATGATTTGGCAAAGGGTCAACTCTCTAGAATCAACATTCGTGATCCTTCATGCTCAAGAAACGTGGATGATGGTAATTGGAGATGGACCGGGTGCATAAATTGTTTGCCAAAATTGAAAATGCATCAACAGAAACTTGCTCTAATGCTTGTCTCTTTTAATTATCTCTTTAGAAGAAAGATTGTCTAATGAGAAATGTGCTTTTTGTGGGGAACCAGAAACCACTGAGCATTTACTGCTGCTATCTCCTCGGTGTGAGTGCATCTGGCCTGGTTTATGGAGTTGAGAATTAAGAGGGAGGAGAGTGATTGATGGTTTTAACATTTACTTCAGGATATGAAAGGGAAAGCTGAATTAAAAAAGGAGTTCTTGAGGATCATTGCTGTGTGTTGGTTCATCTGGAATGGCAGAAATGAAGCTCTCTTTATAATAGTTAACCAGATCCAGGAGGAGTTATGCAGGCTCCTCAAAAGGATCTAGTTGAGTAGATCAGCTTAAAAAAAGTGAAAGGAGAAAAGAAAATTGATAGTGCTGGTTAGTGTGCATTAGAAAGTGTTAAAACTGAATGAGAAAAACCTACATGTGCAGTCATTGGAATAAATTGTGTTGATAGAGATGCTGTTGCTGTTATAATAGCTAGGGATAGCTTGGATTTAATAAGAGGAGGAGTGAGTAAAAGCTGGTTCATGCTTCTGATGAAAACTACAGAAGCTTTTTCTATTCGCTAAAATGCTGGCTGGAGGCGAGTGACTATGGAAACTGATGCAGATATCGTTCAAAAAGGTATTTTGCAACCAGATTTGGACAAGCGGTGGACCTGTGAACCTGTTTCGGAAAATTAGAAAGTACAAGAAAATGTTTCCTGGTTTTAGCTTTGCTTGTTAATAGAGATAGAACTGGCTGTGCCAATTGGGTAGCTAGTAGTATTAACAGGGGAATGTGTCCAAGTGATCGGAGGAATTCAACCCCATTTCCTTTACTAGGTTTTCTAGACAGGGAAATCACGTCTAGAACTCCTTAATTGTCATGATCTTTTTTATTTGAGACTAAGAAGTTTATTCAGGCCATGAAAAACCTAAATTTTGATTGCTTTTGTATTTGAAGGTACAAGAGGTTGTGAAGATGATGGAGGTGGAGCTTGGATCTGGATGGATTTACCATAATCAGTGTAAGGTGATTCCAGCATCTGCACTATCATTTTTGGAAGTTCTTGATGTGATTTAATCTAAGCTACTATATTGACATTTCAGATGAAAGGAAATGGATTTTTTTTTCTTTTCTTTGGGGAAGATTTTGGATGTGGATGTTGACTTGTTCTTTGAATGTTGCATTTGTTCATTTTTCGTACTGAGCTTTTGACATGGTACAAATGCTATCCAAGTGAAGTTGTTCTGTTGTATGAATGCTTTTCCAGGGATAAAAAGAATTTGAGCATTTCATATTCAGTTGTTAGCTGACACTCCTGGCCTTTCTGAACTTCAATTACCTTCCGGTTCGCTTTCCATTTTTTGAAATATGGGTTCAGCCTCTGTTTTGTGAAATGGGGCATGGGAAGATTACTTCGTGTTCATTTTGGTTATCTGGTTTGCAGGTATATCTATTTGTGGCTTCTCAGAGGATTGCAGGATGTCTAGTTGCAGAACCCATAAAAGAGGCATTTCGAATCATCTTCCTTGGAGAGAACAGAAGAACTGATGGCGCCACCATTAAGGAAACAAGAGTATCGTCAACTGCCCTTCAATTTGGGAATATAGTCTTTCAAAGAGAAGCATTGAAAAGCAGCACTTCGTTTAGGAAATGTAAGAAATTGGATGAGACCCTACTAAATGGAGGAGTGGTCTGCTGTGAAGAAGAAGCTGTATCGGCCATCTGTGGCGTAAGAGCCATCTGGGTCACTCCCTCCAACAGAAGAAAGCACATAGCCACTCGATTACTCGATGCTGCTAGGTAACGTCCGTCCTTATCTCCACATCTCTGGTATATACTATCTGCTGCTAGATCTCATTGTCTTCAACATCCAGATAGTTTGACCTGTTTCACATTCAAGCTTTAATCTGATGAATGCTATTTATGTTCTGATGCAGGAGTAGTTTCTGCACGGGTACTGTTCTTGAGTATTCTAAGCTGGCATTCTCTCAACCAACTTCCGCAGGGAAGGCATTGGCTTCCTATTACATGGGGACAGAACATTTTCTTGTTTACAAGGCCAACAACTCGGAACCCTGAGCTGTCATCTTCATAGTCAATGGTAACATGTATGCATTTAATTGTAACTATCTGAATCCACAATACATTGGGTCTGTAATTTTGCTGATTCCAGCTATTTAAACTCAGATGGTTCTTGTGGGATGTTCCACCTCTTTTTACGATGAACACTAGCCATGCTCGAACAGAGGAGCAATGACTGTTATCTTGATGGAGCCCAAAATCATTTCTGGGTATTATTCTGTCTTTCAGAAATAGTTAGTAGTTGCTGTTAAGTGTACTTGTGCACAGACAAAGTTGCAGCATACCACAACAGTAGAGTTCTTCATCTGAGAATTAGTCAATGATACTTTAGCAAAAACAAAAATAATCCAAACAAGCAAATCTGTTTAGATTGAGGACGCAAACAAGCGAGTGGATCAAGCAGATTAGAGGGTGTGATTCTTCTATTTAATATAAAACTCAATCGTTATAAATACACTTCTAAAGAGGATGCGTTATTTGGAAGGTGCTGTTCATTCACTGTAGAAAAGGAAATAAAGGAAAAACATGACACAAAGTTGGGCACTAAAAAGGCAGCACGAAAGATTTAAACTCAAAGTTAGAATTTAGTTAAAA